GTAAGGAAGAAGGTAATGTTTTTACATAGTAACACCCAGGCATGAGCAAAATTTAAAACCGGTTTTATATTGGAGGAAAAAATAGACATCATTGAAACAATGGAAAATAAAATAAAATATACCCAAATACAAATGGCATTTTAGTTCATGGTGAAGGCGACACTTAAAAGGAGGAAAAACACGAATTCACTGACAAACTGTTTGGGGAAGCTCAATACTTAGTGCATTCCCTCAGTTTGGTGCCTCAAAGATTTAAATAAAATTTATCGCCCTGATAGATGTGCTCAATGGTTAGAGCATCAGCCCACATACCAAAGGGCTACAGGTTTGATTCTCAGTCAAGGGCACGTACCTGAGTTGCAGGTTTGATCCCATCATATGCAGGAGGCAACTAATCAGTGTGTCTCTCTCACATCAATGTTCCTCTCTCTCCCCCTTTCTCCTTCTCTTTTACTCTCCTAAAATCAATGGATTAAAATAAATAAATAAATAAAATTATCAAAAGAATGAACAGATATCAAGGAGTTAAATATAATCTAAAGCATAAAGTTTCTAAAAGGTCTTGTGAATGAGGTAGAAAAAACTTTCCAAAGAAGAATAAAAAACTGGTAACTTTAGCCCGGCCAGCATGGCTCAGTGGTTGAGTGTTGGCCAGTGAACCACGATTCTTAGTCAGGGCACATGCCCAGGTTTCGGGCTTGATTCCCAGTGTGGGGCATGCAGGATGCAGCGAATCAGTGATTCTTATCATTGATGTTTCTATCTTGCTCCCTCTCCCTTCCTCTCTGAAATCAATAAAAATATATACTTTTTAAACAGAAATTTAAATGTAGTTTTTCTCTATAGAATAAAAGTTAAACAAAATCCAAAGACCAGTGTGAAGTGAAAAAGGTATTTACAACATGCACGGCAGCAGAGACTTTACTGCTTTAATTTATAAAGTGTTTATATGAGTATAAGCTAAAGAGAAAAAATGACAATCTGACATGAAAACAGGCAAAAGGTAAGAAATAGCGGTTTTCAAAGAAAAAGTTTCAGCCGTTAAGAAAAATGAGTAAATAGCAAAACTTACTGACAATTAGATAAATGCAAATCAACACAAAAACGAAATGCCTGTGAGACTCGCAAACGTCTAAGACTGACGACAGCCGGCGATGTGGGCGAGCCGATGGGCTCCCCTGGGCTGCACTGAAGCATCACCTGCTGGGCTCCTGGGGAGGAAAATGTGGCTCTCGGTGTCTACAGCACCACCTGGCTGGGTGGTTCAGTGGGTGGAGTGTCGTCCGTACACCAGAAGGTTGTGGGTCCGATTCCTGGTCAGGGCACATGCCTGTTTCTTTCTAAGTGGTGCAGGCTTCATGGAAAAGTCATTCATGCATTCATGTAACAAATGATTATTGAGTGCCAGCTGTATACCAGGCACTACAGAGCACTAGGAATATGGCAGTAAATAGACAATATCCTCACCTTCATGCAACTTACCCTGGACTGGGAGAGCCAGACCATAAGCAAATTACTTAACTGAATCCCCAATGTGCACAGAAGGGGCCACATGCTGACCTGACCAGCTCAAGGGAGGCCTTCTTGGCCGTCTTGCAAACTCAGACCTAAAGTCACCACAAAGGACAGTCTGAAATTAAACTTTAACTAAAGCAGTTATGGTGGGTAGTTACATCCTAGGCCAGTATCTTTACTGACAAGGTCAACCTTTACCTTAATTGAGCCTATGTGTCTTTTTGTATCTATGATAACATACCCTTTGAAATGTCTGGGTCAACTTCCCTTTTTCTGGAGCCCTTTTCTCGGCACAACCTAATGTGCCTGGCTGCCAAGACAGACCACAAATTCCTACATTGTTACCATGTTAATTGTTTTTGCACCCACCTATCATTTTACCTTTTATTCAATTCCAGGAGTTTCCCCACTTTGCTTTCTCCTGCCTCTCTAGTCTATCACCAATGGATTTCATGTAACCCACCTACGTCCCTCCCTTTGATTGCAATCCTATATAATAAAGGCTAATATGCAAATCAACCAAATGGTGGAATGACCAGAATGACCACAATGACCAGTCTCTATGACACGAACTGACCATCAGGGGGCAGACGCTCAACGCAGAAGCTGCCCCCTGGTGGTCAGTGCACTCCCACAAGGGGGAGTGCCGCTCAGCCAGAAGCCAGGCTCATGGTGCAGCAGGATGCCTCACTGCCAGGAAGCAGACCTAAGCTATCAGTAGGACATCCCCTGAGAGCTCCTGGACTTTAAGAGGGCACAGCCCTCCTCCCCCAAATGCATGAATGTCGTGCACCAGGCCTCTAGTGTATAAATACAGATGTACCGTGCCATTCTCCAGAGCATTATCTCAATTCACTGAGGTTCTGCTTCCCAGCAATTGTCCACAGTTTGGCTCAAATAAACCCACAAAAATTCTTTACAGGTTTGAATGGTTTTATGTTAACACCAATATGTCAGATGGTACAAAATAAAGTGAGGAAGGGGATAAGAAGTGCCTTGAGAAAAAAGTTGCAATTTTTGTTGTTGTTAATCGTCACCTGAGGACATTTTTACCATTGATTTTTAGATAGAGTGGAAGGGAGGGCAGAGACAAGAGAGACAGAAACCTCTCGCATGGATTGGTTGCCCCCTGGGGCCAGGGATCAAGCCTGCAATCCCAGTACGTGCCCCTCACCAGAATGGAGCCCCAACCCGTCAGTCTGCAAACTGATGCTCCAACCACTGAGCCAAACTGGCTAGAGCAAAAGTTGCAATTTTTAATGGAGAGGCTAGAAAAGCCTCTGTTCCCAACATTTCTATACTAAACACACCCTGCTTTTGTAATTTACAAGAAGGTTCCGAGTTGTTCAGTCCCTTTCTGTGGTCAGAGCAAATGGGAAGGAGGGGCCGAATTGTGCTCCTGGTCCTTCCATCTCTCCTCCTCCCACCTCTGGACGCTTTTTGTCTGTAGAACAGACGCCACAGCCGGCATTTATTTATTTCTGGAGTCCTGGCGGCAGGGCAGGCCAAGTCCACGGGGCCGGCAGGTTCTGTTTCTGATGAGAGCTGCTTCCTCGCACAGAGGACAGTCTTGGCCACCGGAGCTCTCTGGGGTCTCATATGAGGGCGCTTATCCCATTCATGGGGCTCCACCCTTATGACTAATCCGGTCCCAAAGGCCCCGCCTCTCAATGCCAGCACAGTGGGAATTGGGTTTCACAGTATGAAGGGGGACGGGAGATGCAGCACACATCCAGGCAGTAACATGCCCCTCCATAAGCTAGAAACACTTTCCTGCTTCCTTCCCCTCGCCGTTCAAACAAGCCCTTTATCTGTAACAGCTAGAAACCCTAAAATACCAAACCTCCCGAGCCTAAGAAGTGGGGTGAGAATCCTCGCAAGCTGCTCAAACAGCAACAGCAAACCGTGTCGGCGCCCTGCAGGACTGGCTGCGTGGTTCTGCGGCCCAGCGAAAGGACCCCACATCCAGCCTAGAGGGGGCGGCCTCTGCACCCTGTTGTGGGGTCAAACCCCAGAGTCAAAAATAAGACCACTGGAGTCTGCACTCATGACCACACGGTTCCAGATGTAGGCAGTCCTTTTAAAGGTCTAAACCACAAAAATTTTCCTTTGTCTAAATGCTGGGAACAGCCTGCAGGGTCGTTCCCAGCCACATCCTGCTGCACATAGGAATGTGGACCTATCTTACAAAAGCGGATACTGTGTTTCCCCGAAAATAAGACATCCTCCGAAACTAAGACCTACTTACAGGTTTCCTTCTGAGTGATATATAAGGCATCCCCCCGAAAATAAGCCCCCCCCCCAGGCTAAACATGAGATTTGGTCCACTGATTCTGAAAGAATGGAGTCACAAGAAATTCACCAGGAAATTCAGGAATTGGATTGTTATGATGATGTTCCAGAAGATGATGACATGATTGTCATTGAATAAATGAGTAAATTCTTGATACTGTAGGATTCAGTTTGTCTGGTTTGTGTTGACAACTACCGTACTACCGTATCGTATACAGGTAATAAATTTCCTTTATTTTCATTTAACAATAAATGTGTATCGTATTCTTCTTCATGGAAAAACAAGACATTCCCTGAAAATAAGACCTAGCGCATCTTTGGGAGCAAAAATTAATATAAGACACTGTCTTATTTTCAGGGAAACAGGGTAGTACAGAAGCAGAACGGAGCAAAGGTAATCTCTAAAGGTTATCTGTAGTTTCTACTCCTGGAGCTACTGAGTCAATGGGAATCAGTCTCCTGTGGTTCCCATCCAGAGGCTCAGGAAAGTTACCTTTGTGAGTTTCCAGGTCTCAGTCTGGAAGCTGAGGTAACTATCCTATTGTTTAAATAAGTGTGTGCAGAAGCCAGGATAGCAGGGTTAAAGTTCAAACAGCAGTTTTTATCTAAGTATGATTGCTACCATACTTCACACTCCCCAACGGGCCAGACCCTGGACTGGAGGCGAAGTGCGGCTCCAGCTCGCGCTGGGGTCTGCAGCCCCGGGGGCGGGGCCACCCTGGACCCGGAAACAGAACTGCGAGGGCGGGCCCCACGCCGGCAGACGGGGCACCGGGCGGGCGCGGCCACCACGCGCAGGGCTGAGCTCGGGCTCTCAGCGAGGGGCTAACAGGTACTCTGCTAGTTAGGGGAACGCGCAGACCGAGCACACCTAGTCCCTGCCTTCGGCGAGGGCGGCCGCCCAGGCACCGAGCGCCCACCACACCCTTCGTCTCCCCGCCGCAGCGCTCTGACTCCGGCGCATGCGCCGTACAAGCTTGCGCCTCACCCGCCACTAAGTGCCTACGGTGGCTGTGCTGGGGACAAATTACCCAAGTGCGACTGTTCTGCAAACCCGATCCAGAAACCATGAGCTGGTGGGGTCACTTTAAGAAGGCGGAAGGGACTAAATAAAGTTGGGAGTGGAAGGGCAACCGTGAGGAGGAAATTTCCGTCTCGGCTCACAACCAGGAGCCTGGAGCGGGAATAGAGGCGCTGGGAGCAGGACTTGGGGGCGTGGTCTGCGCTTCCGGAGGCGGGGCCTATGGTGGGGCGGGCCCTTCTGGAGCCACACCACGCCCTGCCCACGGCCTGGTCACTGCACCCACCCTGCGCTTGGCAGCCGCGGTCCGCACCAGCCCCTCGGAGGTGATCCAGGTGAGTGCACGCACCTGCGGGCGGCGGGGCGCGCCGGCCCCTGGGGGGCACTTCAGCTCTGCGCCGGGCACCACCCATTATCTCTGCCAACCCGCGCCGAAAGACTCGCTCTCTTTCCCCCTTGCTGTCTGCAGCTTTCTTTCCACCTCTCCATCCCCTTCGCCCTCCACCTGCCCTGCGTCCTCCCCAGGATGGAGCGGTTTGCAGCGTCTCAGCTGGCCCCTGCCGCGCCTTCTGCAACTCAGAGAGATCCTCAAGGTCAACCCTTCCCAGTCCCTATCTTCCCTCTCCTCCAGTCCCGACTGTGCGCCCGACCTTGCCGGCGACAGCTCTGGTGTGGAGCATAGGCGTGCGGGCCCTGCGGGCAGCGGGCAGGGCAGGCCCACCGGTAACTCTGGGTTTTCAACGACCACGGGGCGCTGCGCCCGCTGCAGCGGCGGCTGTGGCTGTGCTGCTGGGGACCTTCCCGGAGCCCCCGGGGAATCGTGTTTGTTTTCCTCCTGCCCCACAGAAACGTGTGTCGGTTTGCATTGGAGCCGTTAAGAAGGGCATTGCCTACCTCTGCCCGGGCGGAATCTCGCTTTAAGGTTCTGCCTGGGATTTCCGACCGCCTCCCTCTGCGCGGTGTCGCTGCGGGGAGCCGGGAGCCTGGGGCGGTGGAAGGCGCGGAGGACTCCATGGTGAGTCATCGGGAGTTGTGGCTTCTGCCGATACTTCCCTCCGGAGGCATGAGGTGACCGGCTAGGGGACAAGTGTGGGAAGGGAGGCCAAGGGAGAGAAGAGTCAAGAGGGTGGGGCTGGGCCTTCATTCCCAAACTGGAGGACGGGATTCCCGGTGAAGCCCACTGGCTGCTCTGCAGATGTGCCGGGGCCTGGGTGTGATCAGTGGCGGAGAGCCGGCGTTTAGCTTCCTCTGGAGCCCGCAGTGCTGGGAGGGACCCGAGGGTACTGGTCAGAGTTATAGGCTATGTTTTACTTGGTTCAGTGTAGTTCACTAGTATCTGAGTAGAGGGATCAAGAATGTTTGTCCTCCTAGGAGTTCAGTGTAACGAAGTTAAATACAACTAACATATAAATCCAAATAAATGTTTTTCACCCCTGGGAAGAAGTTCTGTTTAGCTTCCTCCTGACACAATGTTACCAAAATAGAAACCTCTGTCAAGCATCATTTTCACCCCTGAACCCGTAGCTATATATAAAACAGATGCACTGGTGGAGATACGGCCAGTCACAGAGGCTGCACTCACAAAGCGCAAAAGGACAGTCTCCCCATCCCCCACACTCCCGCACCCCGTTTAGAAGTCCTCCTGCTGGCCTAGCTCCCCGAGGAGACAGGCCTGACAGGAGCCTTTTCATTGGAGGACAGCACATAGACTGAGCAGCCGCGGGAGAAGAGCCTTCCCCGTTATCCGGAGAAATGCTGAAAAGCCCTTGGACCCATTTGGAATGAAATGGATGGTGAGTCCATCTGTCCAAAAGTAATTTAGTTAGTGCCTACTGCACAGCTAGCTGCATTTAAATAGGCTGATCCCTATATTTGCATTTAAATATTCTGAATCCATATTCAGAACACTATTTTCACCACATATGACCAGGAACCATTTTTTTTTTAATATATTTTTATTGATTTCAGAGATGAACCATTTAAAAAAAATATATTTTTGTTGATTTCAGAGAGGAAGAGAGAGAGCTAGAAACATCGATGATGAGAGAGAATCGTTGATCGGCTGCCTCCTGCACACCCCCTACTGGGGATTGAGCCCGTAACCCTGGCATGTGCCCTTGACCAGAATCTCAGGACCCTTCAGTCCGCAGGCTGATGCTCTATCCATTGAGCCAAACTGGCTAGGGCTCATTTCACATTTTTTTAAAAGCAATATTTGTTTAAAAGAATATGTTGCTTCAGTTTTTGCAATGGATTCATTAATACTCCTTATGAGTATACCATCCTGAAAAAGAAGAATTTAGCAGTTATCAGGTAGGTGGCTGCTATGTAAAATGGAATTGCTGAGTTTGCTGCACTGTCTCTTACAGTGTCTACCTAACTCTCTCTGTGGAAAGCAATGAGGACAGGACAGTTGGACTGCCTTCCCAGTATACTTGCAAATCCCGGAAGGATGTCAGCATTTGGAATTGCACAGCCCCCTCTGAGCTCTTTCCAGAGTTGACCTCTTTACTAACTGGAACTTGGGTCCTAATGTTTTGGTGCCTTAGTACACTTTTTAAAAATCAGTGATATTTTACTTCTCCAGCCTAAGAAGTGTGAGTGATTGGTACAGACAGGCATGGAGAGTTAGTCCCTGTCCTGGGCTGGTGCCAGCAAGCCTGGGGGTTCCTTCGTCAGAATGGCTGGTACCCCAGAGGGGACTCTGCAGAGTTAACTGCTGTCGGCCCATGTTTCTTGTGATGGAAAATCCAAGTGGTGTCATGTGACTCATTCAAAAATTTTTTTTCCTCTTCTGGAAATCAGGGTTTTGTTTTCCTCTGACCCTGTGTAATGCCAGTTAAGGGACAGGTTACATGGGAAATCATGTTATAAAAACAAGGTGCCAGTGCTTACAGCTCTTTTTTGAATCTGTCCAACAGGTCTTCTGGCTTTTACTGGAAGGCCCTAAAAAATAAAAATAAAAACAAAGTTCCAGTTTCTGGGCTGCCTTGCCCCTTGCGAACCTGAATGCCTGAATGGCCAGGGACGTTTTTCCGTTCTGTAATCTCCTCGTTTGCCGAGCTGTAGTGCTAGCATGCTTTTTTTTTTTCCTTTTTTTTTTTTTTTTTTTTTTTTAAGTTCCTTTTCTAAGGTTTTTCTTTCTTCCAATTAGAAATATCTCAGGCTTTAATCAGTCACAGATTTAGAGTTAATTATTAGCTTTCTATTCTTGCCAATAAGGAGAGAGTCTGAGGAAGTGGACAAGTTTCAAAAGAGGCCAGAGGTGGTCAAAGGTGGCTCCAGCCTCCCTGAGAAGCAGGATAGCCGGGGCTGAGAGCATAGACCCTGGAACCTCGCTGCCTGGCTGTGTGAAGCCAGGCAGTCCCTGTGACAGCTGTGTGACCCTGGGCAGATGACTTAACCTCTCTGATGCTGTTTCCTCTTCTGCAAAAATGAAAGTTATAGTATATCTAGAACGCTCTGCGGGGTTTAATGGGTTAATAGTGGAGAACTCCTTAGGACAGTGCTGACGCGCAGAAATGATGCATGTTCCAGTAATAAGCAGTATGGATAACAATTTATTTCTCCAACCACTTTTTCTCCATCACTCCTCCAGACACACTGGCCTTTCTCTTTCTCCCACAAATATAGCCACCTCCCTGCCCGTATGCTAGCTGTGTTCTCTCCCACATCACACTTTCTGTCCCACAGCCATCATTCCACCGTCCCCCCGTTTCACAGTCCTCCGTGCTCTGTCCCTCCTTCACTGTGCTTTGCCTTCTCCCTCTGGGTCACCACTGTGGCCGTGTCCTCCCGTGGACAGGCCGCTTAGTGGGGCCAGGCAGGGAGGAGCCCTGCTGACAGGAGAAGGTGGAGGTGGGCACCAGGCAGGCACTCCTCGCAGGGAAATGGCAGAGACTTTAACCAATAAGCAGTTGTTAGATTTTCCCTTCTTCTGTGTCCTTGGCTTCCCCGGCCCTCTCCCTGCCTCTGAGGGCACTGCCTTCGGGCCATGGAGTGAGCCCTGCAGCCCGGCCCCGGGAGCCATCCCCGGGGCAGCCGAGATCCAGGTGTTCCGGTGTGACCGGGCCCCTAGGTGAGGGGTCACGAGTCAGGGACTCTCACCCATGGAGCCTTTTGTGTCAAGAATCTGTCGGGCCGAGACCGGTTTGGCTCAATGGATAGAGCGTCGGCTTGGGGACTGAAAGGTCCCGGGTTCGATTCCGGTGAAGGGCATGTACCTTGGTTGCGGGCATATCCCCAGTAGGGGGTGTGCAAGAGGCAGCTGGTCTATGACTCTCTCTCTCATCGATGTTTCTAACTCTCTATCTCTCTCCCTTCCTCTCTGTACAAAATCAATAAAATATATTAAAAAAAAAAAAAAAAAAAAAAAAGAATCTGTCGGAAAAGGGTCCTCACACTGGCAAAGGGACCTGGGATCTGTCCCGTCTCATTACAAACCTGCTATTCTTAGATTCCTGAAGCTCAATTAGCAGCTTTCCCAGGGGGTTCGGTTCCATTCGGCTCCTGTGCGCCTTTCATATCACCTCCCGAGAGAAGACGGCAGCTAGAACGGCTGCTCTGAACACTCGGTGCGGACGCACCGACTGGGACCCGCGGACTGGCGCATCTTGGGGCATTGCCTACCTCTGCCCGGGCGGAATCTCGCTTTACGGTTCTGCCTGGGATTTCAGACCACTTCCCTCTGTGCGGTCGCTGCGGGGAGCCCGGGGCTGTGTGCAGGGCGTGGACGGCACTGAGGACTCCATGGTGAGTCATCCGGGAGTTGTGGCTTCTGCTGATACTTCCCTCCGGAGGCATGAGGTGGCTAGGGAACAAGTGTGGGAAAAGAGCCAAGGGACCCCTAGTGCAGGAATGAACTCAGCTCTCCAAAGCCCTGGGATTAAAACATGTGACGCTTGAATATATATATATGGCCAAGTGGTGGCTATCTATACTGATAATAGGGTAATAGATTAAGTAGAACAGACAGACGACTGACCTTCCGGACATCATTCTGGACGAAGGTTCGGTGGCAGATCAGGCAGGCAGGCAGGCAGGCAGGCAGGCAAGTGGTTAGGGGAGATCAGATGGGCAGGTGAGCAGTTAGGGGTGATCAGATAGGCAGGCAGAGGTGGTTAGGGGCAATCAGGCAGGCAGGCAAGCAATTAGGGGTGATCAGGCAGACAGGTGAGTGGTTAGGAGTGATCAGGCAGGCAGGCAGAGGCGGTTCAAGGCAATCAGGCAAGCCGGCAAGCAGTTAGGGGTGATCAGGCAGACAAGCGAGCAGTGAGGGGTGATGAGGCAGGCAGGTGAGCAGTTAGGGGTGACCAGGCAGGCAGGCAGAGTTGTTAGGGGTGATGAGGCAGAAAGGCAGGCAAGCAATTAGGAGCCAGCAGTCCCAGATTGTGAAAGGGGTGTCCAACTGCCAGTTTAGGCCTGATCCCGAAGGATTGGGGATCCCTGCAAGATCGGACCTAAACTGGCAGTTGGACATTCCCTGAGGGGTCCCAGATTGCAAGGGGTCGCAGAGGCCAGGCTAACCTTCCTCCCCCTGCCCCGCATGAATTTTGTACCAGACCTCAAATATGTATGTGTATGTGTATGTGTGTGTGTGTGTGTGTGTGTGTGTGTGTGTGTGTGTATGGCTAATATGCAAAGCATCCCCTCGGGAGTTCAACCGGGAGACCGGAAGTTTGATAACTTGCTATGACGTGCACTGACCACAGGAGGTGGCGCAGAACGAAGGAAGGCCCCAGCCAACAACCTGAAGGCCCCCATCAGCCCTGATCACTGGCCAGGCCTAGGGACGGTACCCGTGCATGAATTTCGTGCACTGGGCTTCTAGTTTAACTATAAAGCTGAATATATTTGGACTATGGCACCATTATCTCTAAAAAGGGCAGATCTTCCGTCCTTCTGATGAGGAATTGAAGAATCGGGTGCTGGGACAGCCCCGCTTTGTGCCTATCCCGCTGGCCTGGCCTCACGTGGGTTGGTAATCAGAGAAATTATGACTCTTCAACCAGCGCTCATTTTCACCCCTCGGAGAACCGTCTGTGCAGACCCGCGCGGCCGTGGTGAAGAAGTGTGCATCCTCACTCGGTGGTTATTCCTTCTCTTCCATGTCCGCTGGCTCTTTCTCAAGCCTGGCTGTCGCTGGAAACGGTGGCAAGCACACCGGTGCCATGGTGTGTGTGACGCAGAAGTGACAGCCCCGGCGTCTGCAGGGGTAGCAGGGCCGCAGAAATGGGGAACTGCCTTTCCCCTCTCTCTTCAAGGAAATGGAATTGCTCTCCGATGCTTTCCTCCCAGCTCCCCGGGCTCTCCCCCGAGCTGTGCTGCCGGGGCTGGCCGAGGCCTGTGCCTGTGCACACCCACCGGAGGCAGAGCTGAGGCTGGGCGGCCGCCCGGGTGCTTCCGGCTGGCGAGGTGAGCCCAGCACAGCGTGCAGCATCCTCACGGCGTCTCAGGAATGGTGTCTGCGCTGTGTGGGAGAGAAGGAGCCTGTGGGAGGAAGGCTGGCTCACAGCGCAGGCAGCCAGGTCAGGGTGCTCGCCATTTGCTGGGGAAAGGCTCCCGGGAGCCTGAGTGCCGTGTGGTCTCCCCACTCCTGGTGCATAAAGAGGGCACCAGTGACAGACCGCAGGCTGATCTGAGGACACTCTTACACGGGGACTTACACTGTCCACGCTGCCTCGTGTCTGTCTGTCTGAGGGCAGAGGGAGCTGAAAGGGGGACCCTCTCTCCCTTGAAACATCTGATTGACTTACTTCAGTAAACGATACGTTGTGACCCCCACGGCACAGAAGTCATCGATTATTCCAGCCAAGTGCCAAGTGCCGGGTCCAGAAAGCCACCTCTGCTCCATGTGGTGGTGGCTGCCCCGGGAACAGCGGGCAGTGGCCTTCAGTCCCTGCACAGGAGGGCCGAGCCCCGGGTATCGGCTGCCGCCTGTGGAGCTGAAGGAACCCTGGCCCAGTGAGATAAGACAAGTGGGGGCAGGACAGAACACAGGGCAGGGCTAGTCAGGCTTCCGGGAAAATGTCAGCACAGACCCTGGAGGCAGGACCTGAGCCAGGTGTGGACTGTGTGGGCTCACCCAGGCCCTGGGCCCTGGAGCCGAGGGATCTGCAAGGCTGAGAGCAGCTCCCCCCCACCACCACCACCACCGGCTGGGCTGGGTGTGACCACGCCCGGTGAGGCTTTGCAGTGCCGCCTGGCAGCTTTCTGAACAGCCACTGCGTATTCTCACCGCTGCACAGAGGAGATGCTGTCCCAACCCCCAGACCTGGCCCATAGGCCTCCAGGCCGGGGTCACCGGGCACCCCTGTGCCCCTCCCTCCCTGGAAGCCCGCCTCGGCCGGCTTTCCTGCTGCCCCCCCACTCCTCCCCCGTGCCTCCCCCTGCACCCACCCTCTCCCCACCCCCCTTACCCCTGTACCCACCCCCCACTGCTCCCAAGTACTCTTCCCAGTTTCCTCCCCGACCTGGTATATCCTCAAAAGTCATGTGTGGCTAGTGATAACACCTCCATAAACAGATCAGAAAGTTACAGACCAGGTGCTGCTGTTTTCAAAACGACAGAATAATCAGGTTTCTTACCAAAGTTGCCACTGGGCGCTTATGGAACACCTGCCGCTGACGCCTGCTTAATGAGGGAGGGGCCTCCTTCTGCCGCTAATCCAACGACCGACACCCTGGGAGGGAAGAAGCCCGGGCAGCGGGTGGAGAGGAGAGCTCTGTCTGTCTTCGCGGAGTTCATGGTCCTGGCACAGGCTCCCTGCCTGGCTCTGTGCCCTGGCTGCCCTGTAGGAGCCAGTGTCCCTCCGGCACTGCTTAGTGGAGGGGACCCCCTCATCAATCCCCGACTGGGGAAGGAGTGATCCAGCTCCTGAGTAAGGGCCCGCGCCGTTCCCCCCACACACACACACACACTCACTCACACACACATATACACACACACA